CCCAGCGGCAGCCACGCTGAATGTGATCAGTGCAAGGGGGACAACAGCTTGGAGAGGGATGTGTGGCTTTGCCAGAGCCGTTGTGGAGGGCAGATAAGCTTCCTGGAAGCTGAAGCTCTCTGGAGAGGGATGGGGGCTGACTGTAAGCTCTGTTCAGGGCTTGGCTCGTGGTGTGCTTGGTGGCACTGTGATATGTGAGTGGTGTGAAAGGCAGCTGCAGAAAGGACCCACAGGGATATCACTGCTGATCAAACTAATCCCTGGAGAGCTGCTGATAAGCAGCCTGACACAGTCGATACAGGGATACTCTATTCCAAGGAAATAACAACAAGTTAAAGATTCCCATCAAGCCTCTATTTTCTCCCCTTGGTGTATTGTGTTTTTCAGTGTGGTAACTTGGTTTGAATACCCTCAGAATACAGCACTGCATGACACCTGTGTGTTTGTGTGGGTGACATCTGAGCTGGGGTTGTTCAGCTGGAGAAGAGAAGGCTCCAGGGAGACCTCACTGTGGCCTTCCAGTACTGAGAGGTGGCTTATTGAAAGGAGGGAGAGCGACTTTTTACATGGGCAGATAGTGGTAGGACAAGGGGGAATGGGGTTAAGCTAAAAGGGGAGAGATTAGTTTGGATATTAGGAAGGAATTCCTGGCTGTGAGGGTGGGGAGGCCCTGGCACAGGTTGCCCAGAGAAGCTGTGGCTGCCCCTGGATCCCTGGAAGTGTCCAAGGCCAGGTTAGACGGGGCTTGGATCAACCTGGGCTAGTGGAAGGTGTCCCTGCCCGTGGCAGGGGGTTGGAATGAGCTGGGCTTTAATGTCCCTTCCAACCCAAACCACTCCAGGATTCCATGATTTCAGCGGGGGGATCAGAGCCCAGGCTGCCCACCCTGCTTTCCACAGGCAGTGCTGAGGTGATGAGACTCCTGGGATCCAAGGAAGCACGAGAGCAGGGCTGGCAAGTTGGCTTTCTCAGGCTCTGGTCCGGCAGGCTGTGTTTGCACAGATGATGGGACATGGCTGCCTTTCATCCTCTGGGATGAAATGTATTTATTGTGCAGGCTCATTTCAGGACAAGGCTGATTTATTAGTGGCTCTCTGGGAAGCAGTCAGCACTTCTGTGTCCTGTTCTTCCATAGCTGAGGAAGAACAGGCTTCAGCAAGCATTCACCAAAGGTTGCATAATTAGTGGCATGGAATTTACCTGATTTATTCTCCTCTAGGAGCTTAAATACATTAGACACGTCTGTCAGTCTGCACACAGGCACAATGTGAAATACGCTGCTTTAATTTAATTAATTTTAGCCAAAAGTCAGTCCTAGACCAGTTGGAGAATGTTAATTTTTTTTTTTTTTAATGCTGTCTGACAGTACAAATGCAAATGCAAGTTCTGCTCTCCTTCCCCTTTCCCGCTTGGAATCGCCGTATGGAAAAGAGAACGTGGCTTCCACCCCGCTTCGGAGCCATGGCAATGAGCTGTTATGAAATGGGGAAAAGGAGCTGTGTCCCGACAATTTCTGAATGAGCAGCTGGAGAATTGACGTAACTGCGAGGCGCCGGGAGAGGGCCGGGAGAAAGGAGGAGTCATCCCAGAAAATGAGTAAAAACAAAACTGTGTTTAGGAAAGCTGAGCCCCCCCCCTTCCTTTCCTTTTTGGCCGGATGGTGTTTTGCCATTGCCAGGTACAGCTTCCTTCGAAGCAAATAACTCATCTCTGGCCAGAAAAGACCAGTTCAGGTAATTGATTTCCAGTAACGTGCAGCCATCTTATAACATTAATCCCTGGCTCTCCAGTGGGGCAGATAATCTAATAAGCAGAGCATGGAAGTTTCATCACATGGAAGTAAATATGAAAATAATTATGAAAAAGGTAAAGTTCTGTCTGCCAGTGGCACACATGAAAGAAGCAGAAGACAACAGGGATGAAATTAGTTCAGAGACCTGCTTGATATGATCTGTCTCTCCTGATGTCTCCAGTGAGCTGGGAAATCAATATATCCTGCTCATAATACCTTGTGTTTTGCCCCTGTGTTGTGCAAACAGTCTGAGTTTCCTGGTGTTCAGGTGATGGAATTAAGGACACTGTGGCTGCTTTGGGCTGTTACCTGTGCCTGGAGACATTCTCCCAAAACCTGCCAATATCTCCTTGAAAAAATTATTCCCCTTCAGCTTCTGATGTTTTGAAAGGACAGAACGATCTCTGCTCATCTGCACTGGTTGTTGCTCTTCCCAGCAGCTGAACTGGAGGGAGGGGAAAACCTGGGAGATCCCATCCAGGCACCAGGGGCTGGAATCTGGCTCCAGCTGTCCCTCTGGAAGCAGGAGGGCAGGGACTCTCCTCAGTCCTCTCTGCTGGTGCATCTCTGTCAGACAGTGGAGGGTGAGATTTGCTTTCAGTTTATCTTTGTGAGAGCGGCACCACGTGCTTAGAAAATATGTGAAACATTTTTAGGGTGTAACTTCCTCCTGCCTGTCTTGCTCCTTTTAAAAAAACGCAGCTTTTCTTTCACCTTTAAGAGTTTTAAATCATGGAATCATGGAATAACAGAATGGTTTGGGTTGAAAGGGACATTAAAGCTCATCCAGTCCCACCTCCTGCCATGGGCAGGGACACCTCCCACTAACCCAGGTTGCTCCAAGACCCGTCCAACCTGGCCTTGGACACTTCCAGGGATCCTGGGGCAGCCACAGCTTCTCTGGGCAACCTGTGCCAGGGCCTCCCCACCCTCCCAGCCAGGAATTCCTTCCCAATATCCCATCTAACCCTCCCCTCTGGCAGTGGGAAGCCATTCCCCCTTGTCCTGTCACTCCAGGCCCTTGTCCAAAGTCCTCTCCAGCTCTCTTGGAGCCCCTTTAGGCACTAGAAGGGGCTCTCAGGTCTCCCTGGATCCTTCTCTTCTCCAGGTGAACACCCCCAGCTCTCCCAGCCTGTCTCCAGAGCCAGGGAAATTGGATTCCAGCCAAAATGCTGGTCCCACTTGCCCTCTGTCTGCATGCCTGGAAGTGGGATTTGTCTGGTCCAGGAAGGTGGCACAGCTGTGTTACCCTGATGCTTTACTTAGAGTCAGGAATATTTCAGTTTAATTCGATTTACAAATTTTTTCCTGCCTCTGCCATGAGTCACATCCTATCCAAGGATCTCTCCACTGTCCTTTCAGTGCAGCTGTACAAAGAAAATAAAAATTGGGCTTAGTTAGCTGAGCAGGACATTGGGAAACACCACAGGGGAGGAGGTGTTTCCTATCCTTTATATTCCTTGTAGTGTGGCAGTGCTAAAGCAGAGCCCAGAAGCCTGTGGCCCCTTGGCACCAGGCTATACTTACCTGTTGGGAATGCCTGGATGCTGGAAAGGGTGTTTGGTGTGTGCCTGCTCTCAGAGACCTTCATTTTCAAGTCATTTGGCAATGTGTGTCTGAATCCTGAATCCGTGGATTTGAAATGGGAAAGTTTTTTTTTTCCTGGAGGCCCCTGAACAGTGACACAGGGCAGGGCCTGATGTTTGAAGGGATTTTAGTGCTGCAGTCTGGTGGAGAATCCCGCTTTTCAGAGCGTTTGGGACTTTTGTTTGGCTAAAAAACCTCCGAGCGTCGGGAAGAAAAGATCTTTGTCTTTAAACTGTGAGCGAAGAAAGCTCGTAGTATATGTCCAAGAGCCACCAGAAATCCCCTGGCAACCAGGCTTAATGATCCCAACACTTCCTTGAGGGATCTTAGGAAATCAGAACCCCCTACAAAAGAGCTGCTGTTATTTAAAATATGAAGTTTGTGCTGGAGGCTTCTTTACAGAGAGGCCGGGAATGGGCAAATCCTGTTCCTCTTGGAATTTATAACTTCATGGGCACACACAGCCCCTGTGCTTTGAAATGGCTGAAAACTGGGTCCCCGAGGTCAGGGGCTGAAACAGAGGCTGAGGGGGTTTAGCTTGAGGCAAAACTTTGGAAAGTTACAGCCTGAGCCAGCGAAGCGGGAAGTTTTTGTCGGAATGTGGGGAAACTTTCCATCACACGCTCCTTTCCCTGCTGGCAAGGAGGTCTCACGTGGCTGGAGGTGAGCTGACTGGCATGATTAATCACCTTCAGCACCTCTTTCCTGGGCTGGAAAGTTTGGAGAGACAAGGAAAGGAAAATTACTGGAGCTGGCCTGCTCCTTGCAAACCCCAGGGCTGAAGTGTCCAGGGATGGCAGGCCCTAAAATGCATCCAGTTCCTGTGAGATCCTCCTCTAAGGCTGGATAATCCCTGCACAGCCTGGGCAGCAGCTCCACTGGGAACTGTGCCATTTCCAAGTGGGAAAGCGAGCAGTGCCTGTGCTTTGTGTGTGGTTCCCGCTTGGGAGTGGAGAAGTGGCTTTTATCGGGATGGGTTTGTGTCTTCCTGGCCTGGTTCCTGCTGGGAGTGTCTCTGGGGATGCTGCTGATGGCAGGAACAGCAGATTGCACTTGGAGCATCAGTGCAGGCTGCACGTGGAGCAGGGACAGCAGTGGCACAGGATGCCTAAAGGCTGCATCCTTGGATGGAGATGGGAGGTCCTTGGAAACCTCAGCTGGAATGCCGCATCCATTTTTGAGTTCAGCCTTCAGGAAAGGCCTGGTGGGGAGTGTCCAGAGGAGAGCAGATCCCTAGATAACAGGAAAGAAGGATGATTGGGAGGCTTGGACTTCTTTTTTTCCAGCAGAGGAAAAGCTGAGGGAGGTGTTGTGACAGTCCCTGTGGGTATGCCAGGAGTTGTTGCAGGGAACAACAGGGTGATTCGTTCTCCGTGTCAACTCTCGTAGGACAAAAAGTAACGGGTGTGTTTTGTCATGGGAGATTCCAGCAGGGAACTAACTCTCTGCCTGCAGGGACCCTGTGGCAAGGAGTCTCCATGGGGATGTCTGAGGCCAGGTTCAGCAGCCATCTGCTCCAGATGGGTTATTTGGGATCTCTGGCCTCTCACCCTGCCCAGCCCTGCCGTGGGCGACTCTGCAGGAGAAGGAACCAACAGCTCTTGTTCCCCTGTGTCCACAGGTAGTTTTGCAGACAAGACCTACGAGTGGAGCTCCGAGGAGGAGGAATCCGTGAGGAAGGCAGGACCAGTGCAGGTCCTCATTGTCAAGGATGACCATTCCTTTGAGCTGGACGAGGCCGCCCTGAACCGCATCCTGCTCTCCGAGGCTGTCAGGGACAAAGAGGTCGTGGCCGTGTCCGTCGCCGGAGCCTTCAGGAAAGGCAAATCATTCCTGATGGACTTCATGCTGCGGTACATGTACAACAAGGTGAGGCTGCAGCTCAGGGGGCTCTTCCCAGGCTTCTGGTGCTGCTGCTCGTTGCTCCCGTGTGGTGCCCGGGGAAGAGCTGGACAGGAGTTGGTGCTCTGGGAACGCTCAAAGCCTCTCATTAGCGTGGGCTCCACAGAATAAAACAGAGCAGAGCCTTCCATGGCCCTGTGCACCCGTGGGTCTCTCATGGAATCTTCACTTTGGAGCAGGGATGATCACATCTGCTGCCCTGAATCATGGAATCTTCAAGTTTGGAAAAGCTCCCTAAGATCATCGAGTCCACCCCGTCCCCCAGCACTGCCAAGGCCACCACTAACTCATGTCCCCAAGTGCCACATCCACACAGCTCTTGAACACTTCCAGGGATGCTGACTCCACCACTGTGCAGGACAATCTGGTCCAATGCCTGATCACCCTTTCCATGAAGAAATTTTCCCTAATATCCATTGTAAACCTCCCCTGGCACAATTTGAGGCTGTTTCCTCTCCTTCTGTCCCTTGTTCCCTGGGAGCAGAGCCTGACCACCCCCCCGGCTCCCCCCTCCTGTCAGGGAGTTGCAGAGCCAGAAGGTCCCCCCTGAGCCTCCTTTTCTCCAGGCTGAGCCTCCCCAGCTCCCTCAGCCCCTCTTGGTGCTCCAGACCCTTCCCCAGCTCCATTCCCTTCCCTGGACACATTCCAGCCCTCTAGTGTCTTTCTTGTCACAAGACACCCAAAACTGATCCCAGGATTCAAGGTGAGGCCTCGCCAGTGAAAGGAAGGAAAAACCTCCCTTATAGGATTTTTAACCTCCTAATCTTTTCAGAAGGAAATCTGTCCAACAGGGACTGTCCCCTCCAGCACCGGGACAGAAGCAGCACAGGGGAAAAGGGTGAAACCAAAGTGAGATGAGAACTCACAGCAGCTTCTTCTGCTCCTCCCTGCAGGATGCTGTGGACTGGGTTGGGGATTACAACGAGCCCCTGACCGGTTTCTCCTGGAGAGGAGGATCTGAGCGGGAGACCACCGGCATTCAGATATGGAGCGAGGTTTTCCTGGTGGACAAACCCGACGGGACAAAGGTGTGTTGCCTCTTGTTGGTGGCCAGCTCATTTTTCTCTTCCAGCTTTTGAGACTCCTCTGCCTTCTCTTAGGTGGCTGTGAAAGTTGAGAGAAGGTTTTCAATGCCTTATCCCTAATTTAGCATGGATGGGTTTAATGCAGTGAGGTGATATGACGTCCCAGTGTCCCTGATATGCTCTCCAGGTGTCTCTCTAACTCTGTGCATCCCAGAGTTTTTATCTGTGCTATTCCTACACATCTTGGATCTGAGGTTCTTGCAAATTACTCCCCTTTCCTGGAGCAGCAGCTGTAAAATGGAGTTTCTCCGTTCAGGGTGGTCAAATACAATGCAAAATGGGATTTTGGAGGCATCCTGCAAATTCAGCTTGCAGGAATATTTTGTATTTGTCTACTCTTTAATGCAGAGCCCGACACCAAAGCGACACTGAGTCATTCAGGGTGTGATTTCTAGTGCTGGCTGAAGGTGTTCTGGGTTAAGGAGGTGCAATAAGTGCTTGGTTTCTATGACACAAAGCTGATGCAGACTCAGGAAAAGACTCCTCTGCACTGACAGCAAGTGTTTGAGGAGCAAATTTGCATTAATTTCAGTGCCTGCTGGAGTCATCCTGCTGTCAGGAATGGCTGGAGCTGCTCTTTCCCCTTGTCCTCCACCAGCAATAACTCTGAGGCAGAAGCAGTGAGGTTCCCAGCAGAATAATGAAGCTGGCATTCCCCCTCCCACCCCTTTGGCAGGTGAGGGTGGATTTCCTTGGATGCAGACGCCGAGGGGGTGCTGACGTGGATCTTTGTGCCCCGCAGGTCGCGGTGCTGCTGATGGACACGCAGGGGACCTTTGACAGCCAGTCCACCCTGAGGGACTCAGCCACCGTGTTTGCCCTCAGCACAATGATCAGCTCCATCCAGGTGAGGGACCTCTGGGCTGGGGTGGGGGTCCCTCACTCCCCAGGAACCACAGAGCCTGCCAGGGCTTCCCTTCCTGCCATCCCGGTGGGTGGGACGAAAGCTGTGTCTCGGGACAGAGCTCAGCACATCCTAAAAATGGAGCAGCAGGAGGATTATTTGGTTCTGAGAGGCTTCCAGGCTGGA